GGCTGCGAACAGGTTGTTCTCGATGCCCCTTCCTCGGGCCGCGTTTTCTGTCGGTTAAAACCACCCCCGGTAGGCGGTGGAGCATAGGCTGAATTTCCTGGTGTCTGACGGCGCGGCGGGCTCCCAGCAGAGCTAATAAGTAATGGTATCGCCTCCAATCGCTTCCTCCTCAGTTTTCCGTTTCGTTCCTTACGGAAGCTGTGGAGTTACCGCGCCTGCCTTGAAGCAGCCTTGCCCAGGTTAGCGGTGTTGGGTAACGGGGTGCAGAAGTGAGCAGGGAGAGCCTCTTCCCGCGAGCCTGATCCCCTTAGGAAGTAAGGGGAAAGCTGAAGCCAAAATCTCAGTGCTGGGAAAACTTCCCGTAGTTCATTATAATAAATTATACAAGCCAAGTCTCAGGAGCTCAACTTGAAGAACAATATCATGAAATACGATGATAAACGTTACCGAGGGGAGGAAAAACGGGAGGAGTGTGGGGGGAAAGTTGGACCAAAATCACCTGCTTTATAGTTAAGAACGAGAGAAAATCATCTGAAATAGACATGTTTCTAGCTAGAAAAGACACTCTTTAGAGAAAGTCTGATGCAAGATGTGGTTTAGTTTTGACTTTGTTTTGTAAAATAAAAAGTAAAAAATGTACATATTAAAATGTGTGCTTTTTAATCTTTTTGTCACGAAAGCATACGGAGTCAAATGCTTTATGTGCTCATTTGCTCCTTATATGCTCACTGAAACTCTAAAAATCTGTAACCCACCCCCTCAAAAAATGCCAAAATCCAACACCCCCCCATTTTTTGGGGGGGGGTTATTTCTTATTTCATCCAGAGCAGTGTCATAGGGTTCAGAGAGTCCTGACATACAGGTTTAAGCTTTAATCATCATTTCACTTGGGGTTCAAATGGGCTTTGTTATTTTCTTTTGGGGCATTCATTCATAATTCCATGCATAAATTACGTGGTTATTAGGTTAGGTTAAATTATTAAATATTAGGTTATTTTTTATTGTAATCAAGGAAATATGACCAAACATAAAAAGAAATATGACTAAGCCAAAGAACCATGGCCAGGGAAATACCTTTTTAGATTGAATCTGGAGTTCTTACAGAACTAGGCTGTTTGTCACTAGCACAAGAGATCTGATTGTGGGAAAAATACTTAGGTGGCTGCTGCCATTGTGTAAATTTCCATTCCAGTTTGTAATTATATTTTTGTGAAAAATCATCTAGTAGAACTTGTACTGAATGTAATTTAAGAGGATTTGCACTGCATATGTAATTTACTCTAGCATACTAATTGTTATCCCGCAGTATCATCTGACAGTCACTTAAATAATTACATTCTAGATATTTAGCTTCTCCATCAAATAAAATACCATATCCCTTTTATGAGTTACATGATATTGGAAAGGATTCCAAAGTCACTCACCTGTATTAGGTATAATTAGAGTCGCTCGAATGTCCCAGTTTCTGCTTGGAAATTCTCATGTCCTTAGAGAAGCCTCCAGTTTTTGACACTACTTTTTTCTCCCTACGGTCATGCTAAGTCTGGTTAAACTATGTGCAACTGTGAGGTACATAATTGTAAACCATTTTCAGCTCGCTTCAAAACTTTATCAGGTCAATACCTGTTTCAAGTAAGTAGCTGTTGCCACTCATGCATAGTAATGCCTAAGTATCAAATATTTGATACTTTATTATTTTTTAAGCAAAATCTATTGCAGCTTCGCATTCCGTGTAGACTTAAAACAGTGTGTAAAACATAACCAGAATAATTTAAATGACTAGATGGCCAGTGTATATTCTCATTGGCAACAATGCAAACAATGCACTTGGTTTCCTAAAGCTTGTTTAGTCTCTCAGAAAGAAATACGACTTAGTTTTCCAGGCACTTGTACCTCAAGGGAGCAGTTGCCTCTACTTGCTCAGAATATCCAATTCCCAAATTGACCGAAGTTGCAATTAAATTTCAAACAGTGTTGTAAAGAGTAGAATATTAGCTAAATAAGCCAGAAATGTTCAGTACTAAAATGTGCTATACTGTTTTTGATGCTATATAGTATTCATGTCTGCTAGGAGAACTCTTATGTCATGTTTCCATGCTTAATAGTTTTTAAGGAAAGCGTTGATATTTAAAACTGCTTTTATTACCTTTTAATTCAGTCTTTTACTAAGGATAAGCTTTCCTGTCTTCCTTGTAGTTGCCTATTTGTATTTTAAGTCTGAAAGTGTGTTTTTATGTGATAGAGGATATTATTTTGATTCTGTGCTGCATTTTTAAATTTCACAACAGAAAATAAAATTACCCAAAAAGACAGCTAGGCATTACCCAGCATATGAACTCTATCTCTACGGAGAAGGAAATTATGCCGAAGCCAATAAAAATCTGATATTGACAGGAATTCCAGTTCTCTTTCTTCCTGGAAATGCTGGGAGCTATAAACAAGGTAAGCGTTTAGCTAGATTACGGTTACGTTACAAACAGCTCTAATACTTATTAATGGATGTTAGGAAGCTTTGTCTTTGAAGTAACATGGACAGGAGTCAAGAGGTTTGGCCATATAAGGGGAAAGATGCCCTTACTGGTCCATGGTCAATGACAAAGAGGTGCAAGGCCTCATTTTTGTTTGGAAGGGGGTGAGCAGCTGGGCTATGGTGTTTTTTCTGGTCTGAGACTTTGCAACTTTGGAAAGCTGGAAATCTCTTTGATATAGATATATCTATATACATATCTATCTATATATATAGATAGATATATTCCCCTCCCCACTTGGCAAATTAGAATGAATTATTGAAAGTTCAATATTTTTATACTCTTATATGTGATTCTTGGGAGAACAACAGATTTACAATGGATTTATGAGGGAACAATGGATAACAGATGTTGCTTAATAGGGTATATATTTATGTATTTGTCTACTGATGAAGGTGTCAGAACAGTTTAACCACTCCTTAATTATGTGATTTCTTTCCTTAGTACGTTCTCTTGGCTCTATTGCACTTAGAAAAGCGGAAGATGTTGACTTCAAGTACCATTTTAATTTCTTCAGCGTCAACTTCAATGAAGAGTTGGTTGCGTTGTATGGTGGCAGTCTACAAAGACAGACCAAATTTGTGCACGAGTGCATAAAAGTAATTCTCAAGTTGTATCGGGTAAGTAGTGAGATACTCGCACTGAATCACGTGTTTTGCGTTTATCTGAGCTGCCTTTTCTGATGGAAAACTGAAGGGATGATTGATAAGGGAGGGAAACTGTTTATAATATGTGTGGCAGCAGCACAAGGGAGAAGTGCTGGTTTTTATCAGATTTTTAACTCTCGTGACAATCCCTGAATCTCGGGTAGGTTCCATATTGTGTTTATAAATAAATACATGCACATTGTATGCTTTTTTGTATTAGAGATTTAAACTTTCTCTAGCTTATTGAAATATTTAATATAACATCAACTTCCATCTAGTGTTCAGCACAGTTCTTTGCTGGCCCATGTCCAGAGGAATCTCATTAAATGTAGTCAGGTGAAGTTTCTGGTTATTTTGTGGGCTCTGTCATCTTTCCCTTTGAGCTGCGAGTTTCAAGTTTTTGTGGTAGCAGCTGAATGTGCTATCCTTGAGCAGGCCAAGTGGATTTTAGAGGGGGGAAAAAAGCTGTTAACCGATGAGATGTGGTTCAATCCTAGGTCCGTTTTTGATATGTTGTCCCGTTACTCTTTGTTCTCTGCTTAAGGATCGGGAGTTTGCACCAAGCAGTGTTGCAATAATAGGTCATTCCATGGGTGGGCTCGTTGCAAGAGCGTTGCTTACTCTGAAGAATTTTAGGCCTGAACTTATAAACCTCCTCGTTACACAAGCCACACCTCATGTAGCACCTGTAATGCCTTTGGACAAATACCTTACGGGTAAGTGGTGCAGCTTGCCTGATCACTTTGTGTCTCGTGCTTGATCCTCTCCATATTAACTGGTGAGAGTCTGGCAAAGAGCGCACAGCGGTCTCCGTATGCACAAACATGCTCTAGCTCTGTCACTTGCATCCATCTCTTTGTTGGTGAGTTTGGAGAAGCATGACAATACTAGAACTACGCTGTCTATTTTATGTGACACTGTTAGGGGCTTGAAATCTGATGGGGCTGAAAGCTTAGGTAGCTTGCAGGTTCAGGAGTGCATGTTGCTGTGGAAGATGTGCCTGGCACTGCCAAGCAGAGAGTGCTGAACACAGAATTTTAGTCGTATAGATAGATGGTATCCTGCATCATTTTGCTTCCTAATATGAATCAAAGTGGTAATGGGATTTGAATGCCTCCAGGATGGCATGAATTAAATATTTCTGTGACTTTTTTATATATAAAATATATTTGTGGGGAAATAGCTATTGATTTTTCTTTTTTAATATATTTTATAGATTTTTATACAGCTGTGAACAGTCATTGGATTCTGAAGGCCCAAGATTTAAGAAATTTAACTACCCTTTCTGTGGCTGGAGGATTCAGAGATTATCAAGTTCGTTCAGGATTGACTTTTCTACCAAGACTGAGTCAACATGACAGTGCCTTATCAGTTGTGGTAAAAAGAAAAAAATAAAATATTTTTTCATTTTGCATGGAGTTATGTTAGATAGCTATGGATTTAGCACATGGATTAGTGTCTGTTCTAGCCTCTATCTAACCATAGTATAATTAAGCATGAAAATATTACCTGTGGAGATAACCAAATAGATGGTTATAAAACCATAAATACTTGATGTATTCCAGATGTGATAGAAAAACTGTAATTTCCTACCTCCATTTACTACACAAGACAATTCTTGCATTAATTCTGTCTTTATCAACTCCCCATCTGAAATAGCTTGTTTCTCTTCTTGTTGTTTCCTGTAGTCTAAATGCAATATATGCACTTTGCAAATGAATGCTGCAGCGTATCCACTTCTTTCTTGTGGTATTCTAATATTCCTTTCTGCGGAGGATGCCCTTCGCAGCAGCAGCTTTCATCCACACCCTTCTATTCTGTTGTGCTGGGATCACTTATTTAAATCGTGAAATTAGTCATTCAAGCAATGTTTAAAGAACTTTCTTAGTAAGTTCCGACTATACTGTTTTTTGCCCTTTCAACATTAGTCTCTGCAAAATCCCAGTCTTTACTAAAGTGATTAAGATTTTTGGCTGAAAAAAGTTATTTTAGTGTATCTGCTTCCCTGAGACTTATAAGATAAACTCTCTTCTTGTCAGTAGCTACCCACGTATGTTTATATCAGGAGGGAGACATTTTTATAAATTTAAAATATTGAATAGTAACAAAATCTGACATTCTTCCTTCCCAAAACAGAGCTCAGCAGTGCCTCGAGCTTGGGCCTCAACAGACCACCTCTCCATAGTGTGGTAAGCTAATGCCCTGAAAGGCAAGGGACTGACATCTCTCTCTCCTCTGCTGGTAGTACCTAGCACTATAAATTTACTTCAGTAAAATACTGATGTCTCTTGGCCATTCTCTCTCCTTTTCCCCCAACTCCCACCTTATTTTTCTTGCTGTTTTTTTTTGCCAAGGAAATCCAATGACGTTTCAAGGAAGTTGCAACTTTTTTTTTTTTTTTTTAGGTGCAAAGAACTGATCCTGGCTACAGTCAGAGCTTTTTTTGACCTCATAGATGAAAACACAAGGCAGGTTTGTATATGTATGATAGCTGTCACAGTTTCTGTTTCCATCCCAGAATGTTTAGTTAGTACTTAATTATTCAGGGCATATATCACTTTATTATGCCGAACTTCCTTTTGATTATTCTGAGTTATGCTGAGAAAATTGTTGCCTTTTTGGTACCAATCACTGAAAAATCCTTTGTCTTTGGGTTATTTGAACAATGTGTTAGAAATAATTAAGAGTTGACCCAGTATTTAATGTTGACAACTTAATGCTTTATGGCTGGGGTGAGGACGGCGATTTATTCCATGATGAAACAGGCTTAACTGACCTTGCACTGCAATAAAGCAGTACATTGTCACCTGCGTAGCTTTTGAATGTAATCTCTTCCTGAGTTTAAGTCACTATCTATAACCATTTTACAGAGGGTGAGGAAGTGTTAAACTTTAACTTGGATATAGTTTTGTGATTATATTCCACATATGGTGTTGTAGTGATGGCCAGAATATACCTGTATTCTTTTGTAAATAGCATTCAATAAAATAGACTGAAGTAGAATAGTAGCATTTAAAAAAAAAAAAGAAAGAAAGAAAACTCATTAGTTTCCCTTCTGTTCCCATCAGCTATTTCTTTGTTGAATAATATCCAGCATTTTACCTTTTGAAAATGGTATTTTCTCCTCTCTCTTCTCTTTCTGGTACCTTATGCAGCAGTAAACAAGGAGAATTGCAATTAAGGTTTAGAGGTTGGAAATATGAAAGAATAGAGCCCCACACATAGAAGAGGAAGGATTCCAGGTTTTCTTTTTAAGTCTGTTTGGGCAGACTTTGCTGGTTTCACATTAATTTGTGAATTCTAGAGACAAAGAAAAGGGGCTATTGGTGTCTCCAAAGGTGTCTGGAAATGTGCTGGAGAGAGAAAACTCTTCAGAAATCATTTGTAATGGCCACAATGTTAAAAAGACGAAGGAATAAAAATGAGTCTCAAAAATGAGAATCTGATTTTTAAAAAAAATCAATCAAAAAACAACAACAACATGTAGATCTTGGAACTACTTGGATGTTGTAACATACTTGTAAAGTTTCCCTCCCTACTGCGGTGATTGATCATTGATGGCACTGGATTTGTTATTGTTGAATTTCAAAGAGAAGCAATGTGTCAAGTCTGATAATTCCTTCTTCCACTCTGCCACAAAACTGTGTTGTGGACTGTGATCTGATACTAGCTGTAATCTAGAGAAATTCAGATTTTTTTGTTTTTTTAAAACTCAATCTGATATCTTTTTTAGATAACTGAGAATCCAAAGAAGAGAATGTCAGTATTGAATCACCACTTTGTGAGACATCCTGCAAAAATATTTGAGGAAAATCCTGAAACTTTCACAGAACTCACAGGTGTGCAGCAGTTTCCTTTTGAACAGGATTCAGTGATGCTCCTTGCTCGATAGTTAATCTTCTCACTCACAAACTTCAGAAATACATTCTGTGATTCTTTAGGCACTTCCAGGATGATATTTGGGTTATAGACACGAAATAACAACTTTTTATGGTATTCCAACATTAAATGGGATCTAAGGAGTAGGAGTGAAAATGCGCATGATATTTTAATGTTAATGCCTTAGATTCCACAAGGCAAGCAGGAGTCATAGTTACAGCAAGATGTCCAGTAAGCAATCTCAGAGTCTGAGAATAGCTGCCTGTTAGCAATACTGCCTAAAATATGTCTATATCCTGTGCTTACTAGAGGGCTTTTATGGGTGTTGCAGAGCCACTATGCCTGTTTTTTTGCTACTTGTGGAAATCCTGATTATGTAGAAATGTTTCCTCAGTGACTGCCTGTCCTGACGTAACAGGATAAAATGGACTCCACATTAATGGTTTCCTTGTAACCGTTAAAATAAAGATGAGCAATTTTGACTGCATGAAGTCTTGGAAACTAAACAATTTTGTAGGGCAGAACTGGTGGTCTTAATTTTGCTGAAGTAGACTAAGCTGAAGAAAAAAGTTTTATTTTGAAATTTTTTCCTGATGTTAAAATATTACAGAGGTACTAAGAAAGCTTGGACTTTGTTCTCCTATTTTTGTGCCCCAATATAAAAAGGCATTAGCTACTGGAATGAGTCCAGTAGAGGACCACCAAAATGGTCAGCGTTTGGGGTACAAGGATATAGGTGAGAATAATATATTTAAATTGTAAGTCGTATTTGTGTCTTCCTGTTTCGGTCACCTTCTTGACACTTAGCAGAATTTATTGTGATGAACTTTTTACTCGGTGGCATTGAAGAAAAGTATTAACCTTTTTGTGAGAGAATTTACATTGTTTGTACCTCTGTTCATTACTCTGTTGTGTTCTTTCCCTTCAGATATATCTTTTAAACTCCTGGTATTCAGCTCATCTTTGACTTGCTTCTATGCAGATTTCTTTAAAGGGGGACAGGAGCCAAGACTGAGGATGTTTCTAATGTGTCCATAGCTTTAAAGGGCCCCTTTACCCTATAATCACACTAGTATTATTCACGTTCTTATTTGTTTTGTTTCCTTGAAGCCTTTGTTTCAGGATCAATGGAGGGTGTGTTTGTGGTTGTTTTTTTATTTGTTTATTTTGTTTTGGTGGTGATTAAGGCTGGAAAAGTTTAGGGTCTTTTCAAAGAAAAGAAAAAGACAAGCTTTTGGAAATAAAAGTAGTTTCTGCAGTGTGGCATGTAAAAACATATTTATTTTTAGGAGCTTTCATGTGGATTAATGTTAAAGCTTCAAAATGGACCTATTCAGCATACAATGTAAGTAGTATTTTTTTTTCCTAAATGCATTTTGGTGTTTATTTTCTTTACTAATGGACTCTCTTTCCTCTTTTAAGGATTCTGATGGAAAATACTTCACATTCCCTCTTGCAAGTCGCAGAAAATCCTACAGTCATATTTACTGTCAAAATAGTATGTTGGTGAGAAAATACTTTTTTAAATTGTTTATTTACAAAGCTGTATTATTTTAATTTAGAATCTCTGCAGTCTTAGGACAATTTAATGAATAATAGTTTAAATTACTGACATCCATTTACATTCATAGCCTAATAAATTGCTGGGTCTACTTTCTGTTTGAGCATGTTAGTTTTAGTGTTCAAGATCTGAAATCTTCAATGCCACTTGACTCTCAAATGTCTTATTTTTGGCTCTCTTATGGTTAGCCCTGGATACTGTCAGTTCCTTCCTCCTTTAATTTAGTGTAGTTGTACTGATGGTTTTGAATGGAGAAGTTATTTTTAGTATTGCCAGGATTCAGCTGTAGTTTTAATTCAGGCTGTTGAGGAGCCCTTCCTTGTTGTGGAAATG